TTATCGTCAGGACAGAAGTGAAGGACAATTTCTTCAACTGGAACACAGATGATGGTAGTCTGTGGCTTACTTTCCCAGTGACCACCGCATACCCCATTTCACATAAAAATTTAAAACTCTTCCCTCACCCACAAAGAAAAAAAAAATGCATGGAATGGCGATCGAAAGAAGGATTTTCTACAAGACCAACCAACTTTGTGTGTGTGTTATTATGAAAGAAAGAACAATCTTGAGTTAAAGCGGAACTCATAAAAAGGAGGAGCTGCCAGAAGATTTGCATTCGAAGATTTGTGCATCCCTAATCTGTCCATTAGGGTTTCCCCCGAAATTTTGGCTGCCGAAACATATCGACCGAAAATGACACTTTTTGCAAAATACCGAAAGTGCCATCTTTTGGCTGAAATTGCGGTGCATGCCTGTTTTCTCTCCTCCCTGCCATGCACTGCTGTGTCCTCTGAAACAGCACAGCATCCAGCGGGGAGGACAAACTGTCACAGGATGCCGAGCAGTGAGGGGGAGGAGAGCGATGTGAGCGGCCGACATGTCACAGGAGGTCAAGCTCTCCTTACCGTACAGCTCGCTCAGCCTCCTTTGACAGAGTCAGGATGGAGAGCGGATACAAGCAGTAAGCGATCAGTGATTGCCGACTGCTTGTAAATAAATTGAGGACATACTATGTTTACTGTGTTCTCAATTATGAAAGAATTGGAAGTGCTCTACATCACCTCCTGTTCATTCATGATTATGGACATGGCAAACATACTCTTTTCCATTCTAAAAGGGAAATATCAGGAGTCTGTTTAGACCCATAATATTTCCCCAAAGCCACAAACAATAAAGTAAAGAAATAGGTATTTAAAATAAAGAGATAAGAATTAAATATAAAAAATGATAAAAGTTTATAACAAATATAAATTAAATAGTTAAAAAAAAATAATTCAGTTTCGGACTAACTTTATTTGCGGTTTAAAAATGTCATTTTGGTGCACCTCTACTGATCATGCACCCAGCCCTGCCTAACAAGGAAGGCCTAGTTTTTCTCTGCTGCAGTTCAATAAAACTTGTAGGTCGCCTCCCTACCCGATAAAAAAGAGGGGTGGAAAGAAGCGCTGCAACCCTGGAGCAAAACTAATCAAATAAAAGGAAAAATCAGGCACAGTATAGAGTTAAATCATAAAATGATAATCCTACTACCTGGAAGTATTGGGTTGCTACCAACAATCAACACTGCACTCTGCACATGGCACTTATGTTTGCAGACAAAATAAAGCCCCATAGTTATAATGATTGATCATAAAAGGGAGGGCAAGAGGGTTAAAAAAGAAAAAAAAGCTCATTACACCACAATTACCAATACACCTCCAAATGGCAGCATAACATAACAAAATCCACAAAATAGAGTGTGCTCTATTATTATCATCAATGTAATCAATAGTGATGCGTGAAACTTGTTATTGAGGCAAATCGCACAATTATTTTTTATTTCCCTAAATAGTCAGATTTCTTTCTTTCCCAGAGTATATGTAGATTTATTGGATTTACAAAGAATTGCATATAAAAGTCATGATTACAGTTAGCTGGAATCATGAACCGAAGGACTTCATTAAGATCAGACAGTTAATCTCTTTAATTTATTTAATTCTATTTAAAGATTTTCCCAATCCAGTCATTGCAAATTATCGACATAAATACCTGTAAAAGGTGCTGCTGGTTCTTGATGGTTTCCCTGCACTCTAGGATTTCACCTTTCAGTTTTTCCACCTCTCTCTCATGCTCTTCCTTGGCAATCAAGCTCTTCCGGTCTGGTGATGCCACGCGTATTTGGGCAGCTGAAAATGGCGTGACATACAGGTAAATAAAAGCCTAAGGAAGCAGCGAGCACACCAACAATGCTGACAGAAAAGCACACCTTGGTTGTCTAGCTTTTCCACGTGACTCTTCAGTATCCGCCACTGCTGACGAATGCTGTTAACCAGCTGCTCTCTGACTGCCTCGCATGATAATTCCGACAGGTGCTCTTTACTGGAGTCTGCCGTATCTTCCTCATTGTCTGAAAGAGCCTGACATGGGAAATAAAAATGGAGGGTCAACAAGTACAAAGACTTTAAATTTGACCCAATATTGGGCAAACTGTAGCCGGATGAAAGAATGTAACATAGCTTAAACTACTTTCAATGGAGTTTGTTTCCAGTCCAAAGTATCCACAGAATCCGCAAAGTATCAATCATGCTTTCAGGATTGCCAGGCATTACCTAGTGTATGGTAGCTCATCATAAAAGACAGTTTTCACTACTAAATACACTAGTTGACCAGGGCTGGCCAGATGAGCGTTATGCACAAAACCAATTTTGATTCAAACTAAACAGAGAAGTGCCTATCTGACTCCAGACACATATCTACCTCCATAGTAAATTACACTGTATTTTACTTTTAGGCCTCATTCACACACAACGCAAGCAAAATTGTATATTGTGTATATAGGCGTCTATGTGCGTATATACAAGCGTCTATGCGGATATGCGTGCACTATATGCAATCCCAGAATGCATCACTCGTAATGGAATTTTTAATGTGCTGTACGCGCGTAAATACGCTGCCCGGACGCATCTCTGTTCCATTCTGTTTTTGCGCATATATACGATGCGCAAATATACGGCTCCATACGCAGCTATGTGTATGGAGCCATTTATTTGCATATGTTGCATATGGTACAATACGCGCGTATATGCGAATGAGGCCTTAAAAACGTATGTTTATCCACAAGCCCTGCTGTACAGAATGGTTTACAGCAGTCAATGCTATGCAAGCAGACACACTGTACCACACCAAGTACAGAAAACCCCTCAAATCTATTTGGTTTATAGCCAATCAGAAATGCCAGCGCACAACATCTATTGGCAAATCTAAAGGAGATTTTACAAATCACCAAAAAATGAAATAAAAACCTTACTGGTCCCAGACTATCTTCCATTTTGTCCTTTGCTCTCGGTTTCTGTGGGCTGAGAATGGAGATCATTTCTTTCTTCATTTGCTGCAAGACTTTCTTCAGTTCTGCGTTCTCCAGCATGAGCTGCTTCTGCCTCTGTTCATAATCGCCGAGCAGAACTTTGTACATCTCATCCTCGTTCCTGAAAGGAGGAACAAATAATTGGTGCAGTGTACTGCATACCCTGCCACCAGCATTCTATGTACAAGCTGCCTCTTGTACTAAGTGTTTAAAGCAAACAATTGTCACTTTACACATTAGTCAGGAACACATTTTATTTATTTACCAGCGTTCCTAAGAAAAAACTGCTGGAATGTGATTGGCTACTATGACCAATACAAACACTCTTCATTGAGGCTCAGAATTTTTCTACTTACTTGGCATCAGTTTTACTTGTCCTCCAAGCCATCCTTTTACCGTCCGCTCGGCCCACATAATTGAGTACATCAATAGCTGCAGTGTCAAAATAAAAAGGAGTAAGCAGGGTGTTTATTTACCAATCCAGAGCTCATTTACCAACAATGACCTGAAAGGTGTATGTCAAGGCATATTAAGAACTACAACATACACATTCAGTATATATTACAATACCGGCACATTTCTCTGTTTCATCCCTCTTAAAGTGCTGCAAGTACAGAAGAATAGCTGCTGATCTGCCAGAATGCCAGTGAGCTTCTAACTTCTAGTCTGCTGCACTAAAATCCCAACTAGCATTGTCATCCCTGTCTGCTGGACTACACGGCTCTGCCAATCCCTGCATCCCTCATTACATGCATACATTGATTTCTTTATTAGCGAAACAATGTTGCTGCTTTAATGCACAAAACCCTGTCTATGGGCTCTTGGGCTTGTAGGAAAATGGCTCTTTGGAGAGAAGGCATGCTCCAGAGGGAGGTTTGAGGGAATATTTAACTTATACCTAGAGCCACACCTTAAGAGCCAAGTATATCTTAAAGCCAAGTTTAATCTGCGTATATTTTGCTTACCTATGTTCTTTTTCCTCCAATCAGCATAATAGAATATTTAAATAAGACCTTTCCGTTTTTATTATATACCTTAGTTTAGTTCTGTCTGGTGTCCCGCCCAGCTCACTAACATAACCGGTTGCCAAGAGCTAAGCAGGACGCCAGACAGAGCCGCTGACGGCGTGGTCAGGCGTCCTACGTCGCCCCCACAACCCCTCCCCCCCACCAGAGACGTGTTCCCCGACAGGACCCCGAAGAACAACATTGCCTCAGGCAGCAAGACCCATAGGGACAGCCCTGCTCCGTCTACAGTGCAATCAGAGCAAGACAGTTTAGTACAGGAACAGGGGCCTAGTTCACACCTAGGCGGTTTTGAGCAGTGGCAAAAGTGCTTTTAAATGCCCAACCTAAAAAAACTCCATGATTTTCAATGGTCCTTGTTCACACCTGAGCTGCAAAACACCCAAAAAGGTACATAAGCTTCTTTGGGCAGTTAAAAATGGAAATGTTTTCCCCCATAGACTTCAATAGACTTCATAGACAGCATGTTGTGCGTTTTTGTGCATTTGTACGTGCGTTCATTAACCGCAATGTTTCCTAAGCTGCAAGTCAAACCGCGCTTCTTCACGCACATACAAATGTGCCAATAGCGCAATTAACTGCAAGCTGAACCTGCGCTTACTGAATGCCACCGAGGAGTGAACCCAGCCTAAGACTAAAGGCAAGGCTGGAGTTCTGCGTTCATGTCATACGTTCCTATCAAACAACTACTCAGCACATAATATCAGTAGGGAGACACTCACACATTTTTTTGTCTTTCTTGTCCATCACTAGCTGGTACAGTCTCTCCTTCAACTTGTTGTACTCTCTCTCCTTCCTCTTCATGTTGTGGTTGTGCTGTGTGGAGCGGCTGGTAATAATGTTCTGTAACTTCTGAGCCTACATAGACAAGTAGAAAAACAGCCATTAAATAATGCAACATTAGAAAAGGTTAAAGTAGAACTCTGAATAAATTGTTTTGCGTATTGTGGGGAAGAATTAGAACACCTGCAAAGTTATTATTCCCTCACTTCCTGTCCTATTAACAGTGGTCCCCAATACAGTAGCTCCCTCCAATTGGGTTACATCCAGCAATAAAAACACTTGGTTTTGTACAGTGGTGAAAATTGGAATTAAACATAGGTTGTGTCTGAATTCCTATCGGAAATTCCTCTTAATTCCTTACTAGGGAAAGTAAGGGGAAATCTCCCCAACTGAGAAGTAGATAAGCAAGAACATTAGATTGCAATGTAAAAAGTAGAGCAAAACAGTGAAAGAAGCTGCAAAGAAGGAAAAAAAAAAAAAAGTACAAATTGGACATCCTACCACAACATTTGGGATTAGTCAGCTCATGTAGTAACATGCCAAGGCTGACTCATTCAAAAGTTTGGCATCCAAGCTGAATCATAAGGGCAGCGGCAGCAGCTGTCATGCAAGGACTGTAGCCCTTGCATGACCGCATCTTTCATAACTATTCACTATCCATGGAGATGCCTGTGGGCCACAAATAGTGGTGATGCCCCATAAGCGGCTAAAAGATCAGCAGAACAGGTCTAATATATTGCCATATTCCAGGAAACAGTAGCCATACGATCGTAGCAGAACTCAGGAAAAGGTCTTATCGATGTAAACTAAAGCTGAAAGCATAGAACAATGTCTGTAAATGATGTAATTATTATTCAGAGCCCAGAGCCCATGTAAGCTAGTGATCTGTATGAGGAAGCATACAAACCATTCTATTAAAGTGTGGAAAAAAGAAAAAGTATATGCACTTATTTACTCAATCCTTAATATATCAGGTCTTGCTCTTTGCTACTGAACCAATAAGGGTGCAATCAGAGATGGGGACAGATGTCCTAGGAGAAGCAATCGCTGGCTAGAATTACCGCAGACCTCTATGTACTATCCCAAGCCAAGGCATTTCACTCACCTCCTCTTTCTCATTCTTCAGCAGCTGCAGGAGGCTGTTATTCTTGCACTGTTGCTGGCGTTCTTTCTCCAAAAGAGCAGCGTTCTCCCGTTTTGTCACTTCAAGCTGATCCTAGAACATTTGGGAAATCTTTTTTATAAAATGCAATCCTTATAGTTTATTTTACAAAATGCAGATGAAAGTAAATCAGCAAGCTGTTTCTGGACATACTTTGTAATTATGTATGTGAGGAGTCATACTTTGTTACATATGCACATTGTAAAGCAAATATGTTGCGCTCGGTCTATATGAACCAACTACACACTAAAGTGTTAACAAATCTGTGTTTACACAGATTTGTTTATTAACACTTTAGTGTGTAGTTGGTTCATATAGACCGAGCGCAACATATTTGCTTTACATTTATTCACCTATACACATTGTTGTGGCTGGTCCAATCAGGTAGTTAGGCACGCATTCCCAGCGCAGTGATTTCTGTGATATAATATGCACATTGTGCTTCATGATTTTTAGAGCTGCACAGCACAGGAAAGAAAGACAGGGATATACAAATTAATATTTACTTTATTTTATGAATGTTGAGGAGATGGCAGGAGTCACATGAATGAACCAATGAAGCTCATATTTTCAAGCCACAGCCCTCACCTTTTACAAAATACCATATATTGCGCAATCTTCATGCATTTGATCTGAACTCCCTCCTAGGCAATGTGGGGTGCAGAAACTCCAGCAGTTCGGTGTGACTAAATGGTGTACCGTGTGGGAAGAGTGTTCGCTTTCCACTTACCTTAAGTTTGAAGTGATTGCTCTGTAAATTTTCCAAGTCACTATTAATTTTTAGAATTTGCGTTTCCACATCTTCTCTTCTTCTCAGGTCTCGTGTGTGACGCTGGAGCAGCTCATGGATGCAGTTTAAGATTGACACTACGTGTAACCTTCTCCCGCTGCCATTCCTTGATACCGTTTGCAAGGATGGAAACCCCAAAGTCTTCAACTCCTGTTCAAAGACAAAGCCAGTTTACATCAAAGCTTTGGAAAAAATGTGGTCCCCTCTATGTTAAGGTGCCTACAGCCAGACGAAGCTGGCCCAATATGGCTGTTTGCAGTCACACAGAGAAACGGTCGTGTTTGTAAGCAACTCCATGACCCTAGTGAATTGCTACATGATTGGACTAGCTGAGGGGGAGCAGATTATGGGACACATTTCCCAGATGATCACTTACAATTCCCAGAGTGCTCCCTCTCCCTAATCCATAGGCACAAACTTGAACACATTACCCCAATGCAAACCTGCATGTTTGTAGACCGACTTGTCATATCATTTGACGGTAGGGTCTTGCATGGACATACAGCCACCATGTAATCTTTGTATGCAGCTTTAGACCCCTAACTATTAGGAACAAAGGAACCCTTATCTTGCATGGTTCAAGTGCAACTGAAGCCAAAACCTTTTGTTTTTTTCCCCATTTTCATTTTGGATAAGGAGTGGAGAGGGATTACAATACCTGTCAGGTTTTTATTGGAGACTGTCACCATTGGGGAGTCACATCCTCTTTATTTGTCCTGGTGACCATTATCACTAAAAGTAAAAGAAAATCCCAAATGTTGCATTGTCACCAGAACAGGAATAGATCGGAATTATTCCATTGGGGACACTAGTTCTGTTGACCCTGCTGACCACCAGGCATTTTCTCTCACTTCCTGCTGTGGCTATCAGACGGAAGTGAAGGGAAAATCTGCCCAATGGTAAATATGGCAAAAAAAAACCAAAAAAACTGATTGGTTTAGAAGCCTCCCTTACCTTATCCAAAACTTTAAAAAAAAAAAATTTTGGCATCAGTTACACTGTAATGTAACCATACAGAAATAATAGCTTCAATAAGCCAATATACACAAATGAAGCACTGCAGGAAAAACCAAGTGCATGCCAACAGGTTTTAGCAAACTGCACTTGGCAGAATGCATATCCTCATTCATGGTGGTTGCAGGCTGGCCAATTTTAAAAAGAGAAATGCACAGCATATATGAAGTTGCTGCTATGCACACGGTTATGGTAAAATGGACACAATATGGAACCTTCGCAGATGACCACGTTCCATTTATGCCGTCGCATTAGCGCACAGGTCACTTTTTTGCCAGGAACTCCCCTTAAATCACAAAACAAAGCTTTAAACATTTTTTTGGGCCTTGATAAGTTTACTAATTTATTTGACCTATGCCACTTCCCAGCATCAGATCTACATTTCTGATTTTAATGTTTTCTATGTATGATATCAGGGGTGGAGGAGGGTCAGAGATCATTTTAAAATGATCCGAGATGCACAGAGACTAAATTTGGTACCTGGGAATGATCTCCTGCAGGATCACATTTGGGACTGAGTGTTTCCAAAACTGCTTACTGGCTATATAGGTCTGATGTACTCCAAGGATGAAGAACAAGAGCCCTGGGAAGGTAGGTCATATCCCCTTGTATATTTCCATGTGTGGAATTTACCTTTAAATATCTAGTGTAGTCAGCATACTCTGGGGTTATTTGCAGTGCTCCAAGACACAGGGCTCACCTGTTCAAGATATGCTACGCACTGTTCTACATTGTCCTCATTGCAGAAGTCTGGAACTTGAGAGGATTTGCCTATGTTGATTGTAGGTTGCAGAAAGTTTGGGGATGATATCTGGGGTTCACTGTTATACCGGGAAATTATTCTGGTTTCTTGGAAAGAAAAAAATACAAAAAGAAAAAACAGGATCAATTAAAATGTTGAAAAGTGAAGCAAACCTATCTACCCAGACATTTCTATATAAAATTGCATCTTGGTTAATTATTTATTGAAGTAAATATGAACAGAATATAACTAAAGCAAATAGTAATTTATTATTTATGGACCATAATCACATTATCATGTTTAATTTCAAAAATAAAAATGTTGTACCTTTTTTAGAATTCTATTTGGAGGTCATCTGACCACACAGGCGTCATTGTGCTCCCTTTTCCTAAATTGGTGGGCATGGGTTTATAAATGGCTAGGATCATATTCTGTTGCTTTGGCACAAGCAGTTAAATGAAGAGAAATGGATGAAAATTCCTATATGGCTTCCCGGCCAATCAGAAAGCTGGGCAGCGTGTAAAGACTTGCTGCCCCGGGTTCCTGATACCGGAAGTATCGGGCTAGGCATCGGAGCATTTGGGCGAGTAGGAGTACTCGCCCAAATTACTCGGCATCGATACTAGTATCCAAGCAGCTCTACTTTTTACCATAGAAATGAATGGGGATGTGTTTTTAGACCAGAAAAAATTATGTTCTGGACATGGTGTGAATGGGCCCTTAAGTATCCCAGAAGTACTGGGAATCGGCTACTGAAGTAGAAGAAAGGGATGTGTTACTTGGAAATAGGAAGCATGAGTGTAAACGTGTTGCTTTGCCCTGCATGGCTCAAACACAGGTTGACTCATTTAAAATATTTAACCATCGTCAGGTCAAAAGATACAAAACAATAAAAACAATGCATTCATTCCCAATACAAAGCATATATAGGAATAGAAAAAACAATAATTAAACATTAACTTGCGGCTTCCGTAGCCGAGTTCTGACAAGAAATAAAATCTATGGCATGACATTAATAATTACACATTACCTGGTCACTTAGCAACATAGATAATAAAAATGGCCGCAGACATTATGTGGCGAGTGGACAGAAAATGATCTCCGATTTCTGCTAACTCTAATCTCCCTGAAATCTTGTGTACACTATATGGCACCATGACTCCTATATCAGCTTGTTGGTCATGAGTGTTCATGTGGAGTTTACCCACCACTCAGTTGCAGCTAGAACATCCTCCACTCTTCTGGGATGGCTTTCCACAAGAACGTGTCCATCAGAATTTGCACACATTCAGCCAAAAGAGCATTTGTGAGGTCAGATACCGATGTTGGAAGGGAAGACCCAATCACAATCACTGTTGCAATTCATCCCAATGGTGCCAAAGTAGGGTTGAGGTCAGAGCTCAACATAGGCAACTCTAGTTTCTCCCCAACAAACCATGTCTTTATGGAGCTGGCTTTGTAGACAAGGCACAGTCATGCCAGAATAGAAAAGAGCCTTCACCCAACTGTTACCATAAGGTAGAAAGCACACAATTGTCTAAGGATACATTCACACTGGGTGATTTGGGATTCTTGCAGCAGGGACCCCAAATGTCCTGTTAAGATGCAGCCGATGTACTCGTTTAAAGTAATAAGCAGCTGACAGCGGCCGCATCTGTAAGCGGCATGTGATACGATTACATGCAATAGACAGAAATGGAGCAGCTCAACTCACACATCCACTCCTCCTAATGGAATCTCGGTGCCAGATAAGGCTTCTGCCTAAGCCTTAAATCCAAGAGTACATAGAAAACCGCCACTCGAAACAGGATCAGTCCAATAATATAATTTCATTCCCAAAAAGGCATAAAAACAGTAATGAACAAACTGACGCATTTCAGCCCCACAACTGAGCCTTAGTTATAGCAAAGTAACATACCCAGTTTTGTAAAACGCTGTGAAAACTGTTGGAGCTATATAAATCCTGAATAATAATAATAATCCAAACTCAATGGGGATGCTACTTTGCTACGACTAAGGATCAGATGTGGGTCCACAATGCGTCTTTATGCCTTTTTGAGCATAAATTGATATTATTGGACTGATCCCATTTCGAGTGCTGGTTTTCTATGAACGACCTCATGCAGTTTGTAATAGATCACTGTCCCTGGTCACAGGATAGATGCGCCCAGGGACAGTGATCTGTTCCAAACCGCATGTAATCATATAACATACAATTATATGTAGACTGGTCACTTGCATATGCAGCCGCTGTCACCCGGTCATTGAGCTGAATGGAGATCTGACATTCCTGCCAGGGAATCCACAGGTCCCAAATCGCCCAGTGTGAATGAGGCCTAAATGTCTCTGCATGCTATAGCATCAACAGTCCCCTTTACTGGAAACGCTGACCTCAAATTAGAGGCGTGTCCATGTACTGATTTCTAACATCACAAATAAAAGGCGGCTTGACTTGACATGTGCTCTGCTCTTTTGGGTTATGAAATTACACTTATGATTCTGCTTTCTATTTCAGGAAAATGTCCTCATACTACATTCATGTGACAAGTACAAACTTGAAACATGGTCAGATAATTAAAAAATAGGCACTGGTATCCCAGACTAGGTCCAATCTAAGGAAATATTTCAGTATGGTGTGAGGGTTGGGGCTCAGCTGTCAGAATTGGAGATTGCGACACACCAAGCAGCAGGAAAAGAGACGAAAAGCACACTGGGAATCCAGGAAGTTGTTGGAAGTGATGGGCAGACAGAAGGCTGCACTCACTACATAAAAGGAAGTTTTTTTTATGTAAGCTTTGATTGTATTATGAGAAACAAGCCTACTATGTATTCCTATTACAATGCTGATGTCATTACAGGAGAGGATATGCTGGGACTTTACAACTCCTTTACACTTGGATTCTATTTAACTAACAAGTTCAACATTTTCCTTCCGACACTTTACAAACATCGGTCTCACAGACGTTTCAGAATGCCGAATTACCTGACTCTGGCATGTTGTTTGTCCTCCAATCGCCCATAGCCAGCATATCATAGGTGGATGAGTATTATTAATGTATGCAACGCACAGATGATTCATCTATACAGACATTTCCTAAAAAGAAAACAAAAAACACTTTTGAAATGATTTGTGGACAACTACAAACACTGAACATGCAATGGGGGGAATTTATCAAAACTGAAGCAAACAGAATCTGGAGCAGTTGCCCATGGCAACCAATCAGAATCTCTGTTCAGTTTGCTCAGGTAAGATTTGAAAATGAGAGAGAAGCCGATTGGCTGCAGTGCAAATCTGCCAGAGATTGTCTGCTCCAGTTTTGATAAATTCCCCCCAATGTATTTTACCATTGCCAGTACCAGGGCAGGAAGGCATGACCCCAGGGGAGGGCAATCAGTTTTCTACTAGATTGCACCATGCCGTCAGTGCAATACTGAACAATGCATGCAGCAGGGCAATCTCAGGAATACTTGTATCAATACAGTTCTGGTCTAGTACAGTCTAGTGCAGGGGTAGGCAACCTTGGCTCTCCAGCTGTGCTCTCCTCTGGGAGTCATGCCTGTGGCTTGCAATGCCTTATGGGATTTGTAGTTTCAGCACAGCTGGAGAGCCAAGGTTGTCTACCCCTGGTCTAGTGGGTCAGGTCACAGACTGCACTGCTTAGCTAGACACGAGGACATCGATGAGGCTATGCTTTGGCAGGGGTGCTTGGATCATAAGATTGGGCAAACAGAAATTCTCCCCTGTAGTTGACCTTTCTCCTGGACTTCTGCATAGTTACTAAAAGGCTCCCGCACACACGCCCCCATTCCCATGAAGTCTACTCCTTTGCAACTTCAAAGAGAACCTGTACTAAGGGACTCAAACTAGTCACCAGTATTGCCCTATGCAGCCGATTTTTTTTTTTTTTAACCCCCTTCACTGACTTGCCGTGTCTTGTTCCACATTGTATCTCTGGGTAGAGTCAGCGATCTTGCTAGAGGAGCAGGGCTTTGCTTGCTCGTGTCAGAGTTGCCCCCCTGATTGGTGATCTACTAACTTGTGGACTTGTGGTGTAATGACCAAGAAGCAGGAGGAGAGGTGCAGAAACCAAAATCCACATTATAAAGCAAAAAGGTCCCAGAGGCAGCTTAGAATTACAATTGCCGCAGCGTGTTCTGGTCTGTTTGGCAGCTGGGGCATTAGGTGGAACAGTCCCCAGGGGTGTCAGACTTCCCGCAGGAGAAGGATTCTAGCCATAACAACATACAATGTAAATGCCTGACATATCCCCATAGAAACCACCACCTACACACTGCATCAGGTAGGGCCCACAGGAACCCTCCTGTACTCACCCCACCCTTGGACTTGGATGCAGTGGTCGCCGGCTTGCTCTCGTCCTCCATCAGAGCAGCGATGGCGAAACGACCTCCTCTGTCTGTGAAGGCCGCCGAACGCCATCCAGCGCGCAGAGCGGTGCGCAGCGCAAGTTACGTCAGCGGTTGCCCCGGAAGTGACACTCCGCCTCCAACATCTGACCGCTGGACCGCACGGCACGCCCCCCGTGCGTGCGCTCCATCAGCATGTGCCACCGCCCTGCCAAACTGGGCCCCCCGGACAGACGGGGCAACAGCCTGGGGCTTCAGGCGCCTTCCAGACTGGAAGAGGAAGGACCGCCTGGAAACATGGGCTCACACAAGGTAGGCAAACCTACCCCTCTGCCTTACACAGGCAGGCCATACATAGAAGGAAGACTTCCCGGGCAGCATCACCACATGGAAGCCCCTCTCAGCGTTCTGTGACGCGCTCCCCAGCTTGACTGAGGAAACACAAAAGACTGAGGGAGTGGAGGAGAGGAGGGTCTTTTAAACAGATTAAGTGACGTGTTTCCTGTGTGTGGGGGAGGAGATTCCATCTCGTGATGCTGTCCTGGAAGACGTTATGGGAAAGGTAGATTCTTCTACTGCAAGTACTCATGTACATCTTCCTCTCCAGCAAGCAATCAGGTCATCACAAAATCTAGCAGTCATGGGCAGCAGTGCCTTAGATGTCACACGGCAGATATACAGCTATGAGGCTACATGACAGGAGTGCCTAAACAAAGACATTTCAGGAAGTGCACAGTTATTTTTTTCACAAGGAAAAAGCTAGAATTGTCAGTATACTTCTTAGGCAAAATTAACCTTTTTATATATAATAAGATAGCAGATCTTCATTTTTAAGTCTACGTCCACTTTAACCCCCCAATCCTGGCTTTATTCTGTATGCAGTTGGATCTTTGGCATGTCCCCTCCAATGTTTGGACCTCATCCGGACAGCAAGGTAAATGCGCAGCAGTATTGTGTGCAAAGTGGACATACCGGAGCTCCATCTTGGAGTTGAATACCACTTGAAACATGGAGAAAGAAACCAGGTTGGGAAGCTGCCAGGCCGCTCATGTGAAGACTATAAAACGTGCAGCGTCACTTTTAGGTTGCTCTTACAACCTAGGTCTTAATGACAGATTTAGGTTAAGCCTCTTCTATCGCACGTTCCCTGGATCCTAAAACATGTGCCTCCCGGGCAAAACAGTTCTGGACGTCTGTCTTTTGTCCAGTCCTGCCTCACGTTACTCTTCCTAAACAAAGATAACAGGTGAACCAGATCAAAGCGTTACCTACGAGAGACGTGTGGTGCATAAATACAGCATCATGATAATCTCGTCTATAGTACACGGCGTCTCCCAATAACTCACATCACTTTATCCTGCTGAGAATCAGAGGACACAGCACCAGTCATTCCACAAATTGCAGCCTTCCAATCTACTTAAATGCACTCGGTTGTGTCCAGTAATCCCTCCATATGGCTCAGCAGAAATTAAACACTGTTCTCAGCTATTCTAGTACACATAAAGATAAGCATGGCTACAGATAATTCATTGGGGGCACACGATTAAATACAATCAATAGATGAAACCTGAACACCAAAAACACACACACACACACACACACTTTTGTGATTTACAAATCCCTACCACTTGCTATGAATTGCTCAAAGGTCATTACAAACAACCTTTTCATGCAATTCTGTTTAAATAATCATCACATAGGATCAGAACGGGTTGATGAGGGCTTAGGCCAGGTTCACACCTTTTTCTGGACCAGATATGGAACGCGGTGCATTGCGTTTTACCACGTTCAAGCGTTTTTTGTCTAGCTTAAAATGGGTTTTTGGGTGCAGTACAGGGCATTCCAGTGTGTTTGTGTACGTTGTTGATGAGTTTGTATGCATTCCAGACCAGAAAAAATGACAGTATTTTTTTTTTCTGGTCAAGAATGGACTGCGCTAGTGTGAACAGAGCCCACAAATACCATAGGGATACATTGGGATGCTTTTTTGGTACGGGAACAAACTGTTCTGGTTATGATCCAGACATGGTGTGAACAAGCCTTCAAACTATTATTTCCGATCTCACAATTTAATTTCGACATTAGTTAATATACTGTATGATTGTAACCTTTCTTCCAGTTACCAAAACTAATAAAAATGATTATATATATATATATAT